TCTATGGTCAGAGGAGCAGAACATATATCTTCAACACATACATCAAAAAAGAATTTTAGATTTTGACCAATTAATGTGGAAATAAGCTTAAACATGAAAACGAGGCTGAGGGGCCAAGAGGGGCCATGGCCCCTCAGCCTCGTTTTCGTGTTTAGGCTTATTTCCACATTTATTGGTCAAAATCCAAATTTTTTTTTGTAACTTAACTTGAGACAAATCTCATTTGTCCTATAACCCGTGATGGTAGCTTATTTCCCGCTAATAGGGGGTAGCTTATCAGAGATCTACAAGATCCACCAATGCTGCGTTGATTTAAACTTCCCCCCTGAAGAGTGCCCTCTAAAAAGAAAATCCCGACTTCCAAATCGTCATCCCTTTCAGCAAGTTTCTTGTAACAATGATACTTTCAAATTTTCATTTTTCCCAAGAACTATTATCTCCCTTTCATCGAACTGCATGCGAATATCAACGCTTTTAAAACTGCTGCATTAACTGCATTAAGAGCATCAGTGTCATTTTGGCAGGACACTTTTATTGTACATTTTTACCTTTTAAAGTTTTTCATATATAGTTCATAGTTATTTTGTTAATGTATATACATATGTAAGTATCTCCTAGTATAGTGTAAGCTGATTTAGGATTAAAGATAGGAGGCTATTTTATAAATTGGGATTTTAGAGGATTATCGGTTTCGTTGAGGCGATACGATAATCCCATAATAATAATAATAATAATAATAATAATAATAATAATAATAATAATTATAATAATAATAATAATAAAACTTTATTTAATCAGGGATTACATTGATTACTTAATATAGTATTCTTCCCAATGGCCCTCGATATCTAATAGTAATATATAAAAAGAAAATCCTATTGAGAGTAACATTGACAATGAGTAATATGCTTACAATCGATGCAGCGGAATTTATTAACGTGACCTACTTCATAATTCAATTGAATAAAGTAGGTTTTGAGCTTCTTTTTATAGGAATAAATTGAGTGATTTTAAAAGCGTTCACATTTTCATTGTTTACTAAACGCAGTTGAATTCATTGAATTATTGCCGCAAAAAAGACAAATATTTCATCGTTTCCAATTTTCTGCCTAAACTTTCATGCCTTCGTACGAAAGAGTTCCCGTTTGTGTCTAAAGCCGGTATTGCACTTCGCCCGTATCGTATCGTACCGAAACGTACTGGTGAGCATGCGCAGATTGAAAAGAGGTTTATAAATTCACGTACTTGCGGGTGTATTCGCGTATCAAAATAAAAAGTTCGTAGCAAGTCAACTTTTTGGCGTACTACGGAAGTACTAACCAATCAACATTCACGAAATTTTGAAATTTAAAAACGTTTTCGCTACGTTACGGTACGATACGCTTGAAGTGGAAAACTGGCTTAAGAATCTCCGAAGAGTTCTTCTCCCGAGAAAATACTGCATTTTGATAAGTTAGCTACTCAGCCAGTGAGAGGCTAGTCAAACGTGATTGGCTGATCGTCAAAGGCTGCGCTTCGCTTACGAGGCCTAGGCCGAACGAGGCGCGCAGTTTACATTAAATTATGACGACACTAATTACCGCAAAGCTAGCTAATTGAGCTATCAAGCTATGGGTGTGTGCGGATTTTTACTCCGCATTTTCTTGGCCATTTTCTTTGGTATCTGTGCTTTTTCTTGCAGCTGCAATGTGGGCAGCTACGCCAAAGATACGGTCTCGTACACTTTTTTCAGCCAAGTACCAAGGTACCGTACTGAAACTCTTGCTATCTGCGTACTTAATTCTTGCTGGTACCAAATCCATGACATTCACAGTAACTAATTGGTGTATGTGTAAGTTTGACATGTCTTGGCATCAAACATGATTGGTTTGATGGAACTAAGGAATGTTGGAGTCAATTGTAGCATTTGCAGTTTTGCTTCTTGTTTGGTAACCTGAGACTACGAGTAGTCTATGACAAATCGGGTGGAAAACTCTTTTACATCCTTTCCTTGAATTTTTAGAATAGTTAAAGGTGATCTACAGTCCGATCTGCGCATGTGCACAAATGAGCCCACTTTTTATGATACAAACAGTTTAACTATGTTTTGAGATCTTGAAAAGCCTGATTGTTGTTTCTTGATCATTTATTATACTCTAGAAGCTTGAAAATATAAACAAAGGCTTTGTTTACATACGGACTGTAGATCACCTTTAAGATTTAAAATATTTTATTAATCAACTTAGGACCACCTTAAATCACGCTTAAATGGAATGGATTTCAAGTTTTCTTCTCACTGGCTATGCCCAAAGAAGCAGAACATCCTTCTTTACCACATGCATGATAAAAAATTTATTGACGTTTTTGACAACACGAACGGCGACCGGAAGTAAAGTTGACGTTTTTCACCAATCACAGCCCTTGACCCAGTCTTCTGACGTTACTCATGCCGTTCGTGTTGTCAAAAACGTCACTCACTATTGTCGTTCAATTCGGAGCGAAATGTAGGGGCTGGGGTTAAGGAAAGTGTTAAGGCTGTGGGGGTGGGTACCCATGTTGGGGTTGTGGCATGGTATGTTGGGGTTGTGGCATCGCATGTTGCCGGGGTTGTGGCATCGCATGTTGGGGTTGTGGCAACGTATGTTGGGGTTGTGGAGTCGTATGTTGGGGTTGTGGCATCGCAAGTTGAGGTTGTGGCATTACATTTTGGGGTTGTGGCATCGCATTTTGGGGTTGCGGCATCGCAAGTTGGGGTTGTGAACTGGTATGTTGAAGTTGTGGCATCGCATTTTGGGGTTGTGGCATCGCAAGTTGGGGTTGTGAACGGGTATGTTGAAGTTGTGGCATCGCATTTTGAGGTTGTGGCATCGAAAGTTGGGGTTGTGAACTGGTATGTTGGGGTTGTGGCATTGCATGTTGGGGTTGTGGATTCGTATGCTTGGGATGTGGGGGCAATTGGTGGGTTTGAGGAGTTGGGAAATCTTGACCTTGGTTGTAATGACAGGGAGGATTATGAACTGGTGCCAGGCCTATGACTGCAGGGGTTCTCTGTGCAGGGCGCTGTTGTAACACCACTCCACGTCGGGACGAGCGACGACAGAAACGGTAAACAAAAGCAGCGCCGAAAGCGATGACGAACAGTACAACAAATACGACGATTACGATCAACATATTAAAAGTGTCCCGCTCAGATTCCTTCTCGCATTTTGTAGTATTGAAATTACAGAACTCGCTAAACGAAGCACAATCATCATCGTCGGAACATGTCTCCCCGACACAATCTCTGCGACACACATTAGCGAGAGTACCTCGCTTACAGCAATACCTCGACGAATCGCAGTCAGAATTCGAAGTACATACCGAGCAACCACTTATAACGCATTTGGAAAGTACACAGCATTCACTAGCTCCTCGACAATCACTGTCGGTCGAACAGGAACGCCCTGCTTTCCAGCATATTTTACTCGCAGTACAGTATTCCGACGGACCTCCGCAGTCAGAACTCGAGTGGCATGTCTCTCCGACACAGCTGCGTCTGCAGACGTTGTGATCGTTGTGGTATCGATGTTTACAACAGTACTCCGAGGAAGAACAGTTTGAATTTGAACGGCATTCTTGGCAACCGTACCTCGTACATTTGTTCGAAATACAACATTCATCTTTTCCACCGCAATCCCCGTGTGTAGAGCAAGAGTCTCCGACACAGGAATAGGTTGCACAACTTCTGCCACAACAAACTTTGTCGAAAAAGTTGCAACGACAATCAGACTTGGAACTGCATATGCCTTCAGCTAAAGGCAGACCAATTTCGCACATAAATATCACGTTCCATGTAAAAAGCAAAATAACAGATACGCTAGACATCTTGTGTGTTTAAAATCTATATTGTGCTGTACGATACAGTTACAGGTTTTGAGTGGCAAAAAACTTCCTCGTCACCAGCCTAAAAGCTGAGGATTTTTAACACGAATTGTTTAGTGTCAGGTTTCCCGATGACGTTCTACCAGACGCGATTCGGCAACGCGACGTGATTTTTCAGTTTTTAGTAAATACTGTAAAGGTAATTCAAAAACTCATTAATAATTCATAAAGCAATTATCCAATCTTGAGTAAGAAATTAGTCATGTGCATACGTCTTTATACCAGCTAAAGAACACTTTAACAAAAGACCATTGTTATGCAAACTATATAAAGGTTTTTATATAAAGATTTTTATATAAAGATTTTTATGAAGATTTTTATATAAAGATTTGACTTATTATGCATACGTTTTTGAAGTCATTTAAAAAACTCGCGGGTCGTGTTTTATTAGGTCTAAAGCCACTCGCGCTGCGCGCTCGTGGCTTTAAACCTAATAAAACACTCCCGCTCGTTTTTTAAATAGTACATAAAACCGACTATGGCTGACTATGAAAGGGAATTTTGAAAGATATATACAGTCCAAAATAACCTTCGGGACCTCATCAACGTGTCCGCAGTCCGTTTAATTAATAGCCGTATAGAAGGTATACCGTGGATGTTTAAATTTTGATGGGCGAATGCTTTGGGCAATGTTAAACTTAACTCGAGACAAATCTCATTTGTCAGCCCGTGATGGTAGCTTATTTCCCGTTAAAAGAGGGTAGCTATTATAATAGTGGGGGCTATGATAGAGGGGGCTATGATAGAGGGGGCTATGATAGAGGGGGCTATGATAGAGAGGGCTATGATAGAGGGGGCTATGATAGAGGGGGCCATTTGAAGTGGGATTTTAAAGGATTATCGCCTACCGGTTTCATGACACACAACTCGTTTCCAATTTTCTGCCTAAACTTCCATGCCTTCGTACGAGTTCCCGTTTCTACAAAATCGGAACAATGTTGACTGTCTACACAAAAAGTTATTAATAGTAAACCAATTTTATTACTGTAATCCAACTCCCATCATGCAAATAGAGTTATTTGAACCAAATTAACTCTTAAATATGGAGTGAATACGGTTCAAAATACCTCCACTGGATTTAAATTAACTGAAATTAACAGTGTTATACTCATAAAACGGTTCCACTTGTGTGTATGAATATGCCGATATAGCTAGTGCGGTTATAACTGCAGAAAACCAAACACAAAGATAAGAAAAATCATCAAGCTGTTTGGGCTAGCTATACCGGAAATGTTCGTGGTTGAGTCTCGAACCCAGACTGCCAAGTCTCCTCCGTTCACACCGCTAACCTTCCCATGAACCTTTTGGGTCTCCGCATTTATAATCACGACCGTTTTAGATTTAGTTGCCGGGGAAATAATCCATTTTCCACTGATAAATAGCTTTCGCGATGCCCCGTGAGGTTTTGAGTCGAGAAAATCAATATTTTCGATATATTTGACATCGGAAATATTGCCATTTTTCGCCACATCTAAGTCAACGACCGCCATTTTGTCTGAATAATCAAGAGTAATGAAGACATTATAGCTGTCGGAGTTTTTACTCTTGGGGTAAAAAACTGCGTGGGATACACCGCCGGGGATACGAAGTTCCGGGTAATGCTCGACTCCTGATCCACTTACAGCTAAAATGTTCATTCGGCTTGTAGTAATGTTCGTTCGGCTTTTATAGCGATAAAGTACTACAACGTAGCGACCATTAGGCGAAACAAACGGAGACCCGGGAAATTTATATTCTTTCGTAAGGCTATCGTTGGCTGCGTTTAACTCGAGAATCGAAACACTTCGAAACAGGCTTTGACATTCCACATATAAGCGTTTGTTGTACGAATTGTAGACAATGCCGTACGTTCCAGAGCAGCCGTATTTCGTGAAGTTAAGAAAACCTGTGTAGGATTTCGTTTCCAGATTAAGTTTGTGAATGCCGGGATTTGAAAAATGAGTAACATAGGCTGCTTTTCCTTCGAGCATGTCTTTGTCGGCCAGCATTATGCCATGAGTAAAACCTGAAGAAGTTAGTGGTAGTAATTACTTATTAAGTTAAATTTACGCATTTCAAATCATGCATTTCTTGTTTGTTTCAAGTATATAAATGCCTATAAATGCCATATAATAAACTTTTTTTATTAACGACGCTTGCTCGGTATGTGCGGAGAAATATTGAACCTCGGTCTTTTTGTACAAACCTCGCCCTACGGGCTAGGTCTGTACAAAAAAGACCCTGGTCCGATATTGCTCTGTACAGACCTCGCGTTCGGTTAATAAGAAGTTATCAGAGACCTTACGATTTTAGGACGGCGACGGCCAAAACAAGCTCCTTCAGTTAATGGTAGTAAAGATAGTTCGTCGTATATTATCAATCGTATGAATTTAATACAGTTTTGGAAGTTGAAAATATGGGTTTTATGGTTGGGAAGAGTTCTGCTTAACCCAGTGGCTTGGAATGCAGCCGTTGTATCAAGACGTGAAAATCGGTGATTTGGCGTTGTAAACAGAGTGAGGACAATGTCTAAATTATACATATATTGTAATTACTCAATTCTATTCAATGATCTATTGTATTGGTAGCTGTTGCCGTCCTAAAATCGTAAGGTCTCTAATATCAGACATGCTAACCTGGTTTGACATGAGCTCGTATGGCAGTATGGGTACGATTGCGACCTTCAGTTTCGATGACGTCAAACGTGGAAATATTCCAAGAATGTACCCAAACTTCCTTGCGCCAAGGCAAGAAATGCAAGCCATATGGATAGACGTCTGTGGGGATAGTTTCGATTTTCGTCCGGGTTTTAACATCGATCACGTGCACAGCACTCCCTGACGCGTCTGCGACGAAAACCGTGTCATGAACAACAGAGGCTTGACTGAATGAACACGGATTTCTATAGGCAAAAAATATTGAATATTTTTATGATTATTATTTTATCAATTTCTTAGCTTTGTTTTTCTTGACGTTAAGTCACACCCCGTTACCCTTTAGGTATCGGAATTCAATGGACCATTCTAAAAATTTGGAAATGTTTATAAATTTGGAAATATTTTTTCAGAAATATTGTCTGGATCGGTAAGAGTTTTCTCCTGCGAAGTTTTGAAATAAACAGACGTGCAGAAATACATAAACTAAAACAGCAGGTTAAATTTTAAGGGTCCGCGCTAAACCAGCTTTGAAAAACCGGTCCCAGAGGGGCAGAAGTTTATTTTTCCTTCGCCATTTCTAATATTACATTATGTGCAATGAAAACAGACCTCTGGAACCAAGGTAGTTCGCCTGTAGTGGCCGGTTTTAAAATAAACCACTGATCTGACTGCCTGGCTGTAGCCTGCGTGTGGCAGGTGGTTTTTCTACGGGCAGCGAAAATTAGGGAAGCAAAGCTACACTGGCTGCAAGCTTGCGAGTGGACTCTTGTGACGAGTGGAAAAGGTTTAAAGAGCGGCGCGAAAACGAGTAAATACGGTAAAAATTGTGAAACCAACCTTAACCCTCTGATGTTACTCTCGGTACATAGACCTGGTGACGTCATGTCGTTTATCTTGGTGACCACGCTTTTTGCCACTGGATCAATGACGTAAATACCGTCACTTCCCAAGACATAAAATACAGTGTTTGTTTTGACCGAGGCAGAATACTCCAAGAGAAAAGCTACAAAAAATTGACATGTTATATAGTTGTTTCGGGGGTCGTTTACATGATCCAGCTTTGCCAGGATGAGACGAAAGGAGGGAAAATTTTGACGCATGATGTCACAAATCTTTACTCCGATGAGCAAAACATTAGGGGGAGCTGTGCACTCTGCGGG